TAAGGCACCCTGCAGTTCTTTAATTTGGAAATTCATTCTATCATTGCTGATTCTTTGCACTGAGTTTCTTATGTGTGTGGATCTTCACTCTCAGAGTTAAAATCCCACAAGTGTGTACACAGCCTATGTGTGACTCAGTGCCATCAGGTAGCTGATAAAAGCACATGGAACATGGACTTCCTGCATTTCCAGTCAACACCAGGACCAAGTAAGAGGAAGAAATACGTAAGAAATTTCCCATCATTTCAACTAACTTTTTTTTGGGGGGGGGGTTGGTTGTGGGGCTTGAACTCTGGGCTTGGGCGCTATCCCTCAGCTCTTAGCTCAAGGTGAGTGCTCTACCGCTTGAGCCACAGCACTACTTCCTCCCATCATTTCAAAAAATGCCTGGGAAAATCCTTTCTGATGGAAGAAATTAAGACTCTCCATCATCAAGAACCTGAAATTGCTCAACAAGAAATGTACTCATTGCCTTACTCATATAACCTCTCCGTACAACATCTTTACAATAAAATAAAAATTTTAAAAAAGAACCTGAAATGTAAAAGTAGAAGGCTGGTGAAGACAAGCCACTGAGGAGGAAACAGGAAGCTCTAATGCTAAGAGAGCTGAATGCTTTAGAAGATGCAAGGTTTGATGCTCAGCTAAATTAGTCTGTCTATCTACATCCTGTTTGCATGCCCATCTGTCAGACATGCTGATAATTAAGTAGCAGTGCTAATTGCTTTCATTATTGTACCTCACAGGGAAAGGCTTTTCCCTGAGTTTGTATCTTATTTCAGTATTTCATGTATTAACTACCTGGTGAAAGCTTACTACTAGCCAAACATTTTTCCAGAACTTTTAAATTCATTCTGGAAATTCAGACTACTCAGAATCCTATCTCTGGAGAGGAAAAGAAACAGACTTATTATCTTAAGAAAAGGGTCCATTAGGAACACACAAATGTAGGAACTTTCTAAATGTGATTTTCTATTATGTTCTGACTTCAGCTCTATACTATCTATCTATCCAGCTTCATGCTGCTGGGGTTAGGACTTTGAAATTCCATTTCTCCTCTGAGGCCTGGAAACCTGTTCTCCCAGGAGATATATAATTTGAAAGGCTGGAGAACCAGAGGACTTGCTCTTTCCAGTTCCTGTCAGTGACATTCGAGGTAACTGTAGCATGTTCCAGAGACAGACTCATCACAACTCCTGAGAGATGCCTACACAGGTTGAGGCTGAAGTATAGTGTCCTTAGAAATTGGGCTCCAGCTCCCCAGGAAAGCTTCCTTAAGCTTCTAGTTTACAATAACTCACATTTCCTTGTGTGCTGTTTATTTAGTCAGCCATATTAACTCTTATATTGAATTACCTGTAGAAACTAAAGAGAATTTGCTTGAGGGCCACAACCTCATTTAATGACAGCAATTAATATAGCAGAATGAAAATTTTCACATCTAAGCTAAATCTGTTTCTTCCCCCCATTTCTCTCTCTCTCTATATTTATATATATATATAGAGAGAGAGAGAGAGAAATTTTAATTTCTGGGAAATTTTAATTTACTTCACTAGGTTTCATTTTCTTCAATCACTTTCCTTTATACAGTTAATTTATATTGTATACATCAGTGACAAATACTAGGCTAGGTATGGAGAAACAATGGCATACAAAATAAATTCCTCGACCTCCCAGATCATCTTGTCATATGAATTAAAATAGAAAACACAGGTAAGAAAATTAGCACATTGCAGTAACCCCTCTGTACAGATTTTTCACAATTAAAAAAAGAAAGAAAATTAGCACATTGCAGAGTGCATTGCCATCAGCTTCTTATCCATATAAGACAGCAAAGCACATACATATAAGGTCCTGAAGAAACAACATCCAAGTTTCTTTGGAAAATGAGACAGGTTCTCTCCAACAAGGGTAAAGGTCTGAATCAATAAGACCAAGGATGGGGCTGGGAAAGTGGTTCAGTGATAGAGTGCTTGCCTTGCATACATGAGGCCCTGGGTTCAATTCCTTAGCACCACATAAACAGAAAAAAGCCAGAAATGGCTCTGTGGCTCTAGTGGTAGAGCACTAGCCTTAAGCTGAAGAGCTCAGGGGCAGTGCCCAGGCCCAGAGTTCAGGCCCCACAACCCCACCCCCCATACACCCCCAAGGACTGGTTGTTTTCTGTCTATTGTTCTAGTTCAGAATAGAGAAGTAATGACCTTGCTGTAGTGTTTATCCAGATATACATGGAACAAATTGACACTACAGAGGAAACACTACAGAGGTTGAATTCAAAATCCCTGCACAGATTCATGTTTCGAATTCTTGGTCCCCTGCTGGTGATGCTATTTAGGTACTGTGCTAAGGAAGTAATTCACGTGGAGTATGCCTTTAAAGATTATGCTGGTCCATAGTCCTCTCCTCTCGTTTCTTGTCTGCCATGAGATGAACAGCCTCCTTCACACACTCCCACTGCCACGATGTTCTGCCCCAACTGCACAAGGCCAACCAACTAAACCCTCTGAAACTGTTAGCCAAAATAAATCCTCCTTTATGTTGTTTCCTCGGATACTGTGGTCACAGCAACAAGAAAGCTAACTAATATAGAGGCATTTAAAAGAAATTCCAAGAAGGTAGATACTCATCATACTGAGCCTTAGGTGTTTAAAGGCAATAGAAGGTGCAATGCAGGACTTGGGACAGAACTCCAGAAGGGCCGTGGGGTGAGAGTAGATAGTAGGAAGCTATATTTCCATCACTCATATGAGGTCCTTCTACCATTAAGAATACATCACATACAGATTACGTATAGTGGCTCATGTCCCTAATTCTAGCAGCAATGTGGGAAGAGGAAGATACTTGTTTGAGGCCAGTCTAGACAAAAAATTAACTGGTTGGGTTCCTATGATCCTAACTACATAGGAAGCCACAGCTAGGAGGACTGTGGTCCAGGCCAGCCCCAGGAAAAAATATGAGACTCTATCTAAAAAACCCCCAAAAACCTAAAGCAAAAAAGGACTAGAGGTATGGCTCAAGTGGTAGAAAGCACTTACCTAGAAAATACAAGGCCCTGATTTCAAACCCTAGTACATATATCAAATGAATCACAACCCACTTTACACTTATAGCCGGAGGACAATACACCTAGAGAAGCCAAAGGGATGATAAGATAGAAAAGAAAGATCCCAGATTCTATGTAAGAAGAAATCCAAAGGTTCTAGGCAACAGGCAGGGAAAAGTTGGAAAGAAATATGTTCTCCACATTTTGACATTATTGTCCCTTGGTCTTCTATTGTCTAGACATTAGGGATATTGGGGCAAGGAAGGCCAATGTTCTCATTAAAATCAAAGTGTTTCTGCAAGACTGCTGTGTGGCCAAATTATTGAAAGCCACATATATAACACATTGATGCCTTAGAAATGCAAAGTAATCTCTTCACTCTCAATTTTTTCCTAACTATTCCCCTTTTAGTTCCTATTCTTTTCTTCAAATTCTTTTAACATTAGTCTCCATATGAATTAGTCCCACAACATTAGAATGGAGGTCAATACTCCCTTCTATAGCAAAGGAGCCGTTTACCTCTTCATTTCAGTTGATGGTTCTATCTAGGATTGAATTTTGAGGATAAAGGCACAACCTTTGCCCCCCTAATTAGGACATATAACCCCCTTTTTCATGCTAGAGTAATATTAGGAGCCATCTAATTTTCCTATACCATCTTGCTCGTGGGACTTAATTGCTCCTGGCCTTAGGTTCATCAGGAACTCCTTGTTGGACCCTGATGGCATCAATGTAAACCCAGAAGCCAAATGATTCACAGGCACTGAGGTCATGTTTTGTCTATTGTTGAGGAAGGCTTTGGTTTTTTTTTTTTTAATGCAGGGTGAAAGGGATAGTCAACTGAAACAAAGTACAGGTTCGGTTCCATTTTGCCAGAAAAGCCTCAAGCAAAAACCCCCCAATAATACCAGACATCAGCTCTAGCAATGGTGAGAGCTGATACATTCCCATCTCCTCAAAAGACCAGCTTTCACTGTTCCTGAATACATTTCCCAGGGACTCAACTTCTCCTACCCTGCCTAGAGTGGCACGCACCCTGTCTTTAAAAAATAAATTTTGGCATAATTATGGCCATCAAAAAATCATACTGAAGGAAAATTATTATTAGAAGATCTATTCCACATCCTTGCTCTAGGGCCTTGTTACAAGTAATTTACTGTCACTGAAGAAATTTAGAGTTCCAGAAGGCATGAAAAGCCTGGAGAGAGTTTTATTCATAAATAAATGTCAACCCTTAAACAATAAAGACAGCTTCAAACTCCAGGGCTACTGATGAACAAAAATATACTGTCTAGATGATTTATTATAGTGGTGTTTATAGTCCAAATGGTAAGATATTTCAATTCCACCTAAAGAGTCATTATACGTCCACGACTAAGAGAAGTACTTTGGAAAAGAAGTGACATTTCACAGTTTTTCCATTTCAAACAAATTATTATTTTTGTATTTAGGACACCACCCAGGCAATTCCTTTCATGACTTGTAGCACTCTCAAGCAATTAAAAAATTATGAGGTGAAAGAAGTCAGGAATAAATGCCAAATTCAAAATGATCCTCAAACTACTGAATAGCCCTTAGAGAGCACTACTGTCTTAGATGTAAGGCAAAACAATCCCTTTTGCTCAAGAAAACTTAAAATGAACAGTGAGTGTGTACCACAAGAACATTATCATCCTGCAGAAGCAACTGCTAAATAAAAATTTGATCTCCAAACAGGGCTTCTAACAGGAAATGTGAACTAAAGGTACCTCCTAATGAAATGGAGAAATTTTACTCAACATAATTCTTCTGTGTAACATCTGGCAGTCTTCCCTCTTAATACCCTTATTCAGATCAGTAATGGGGTATATTCTGTTTGAAATATATTCTTGAACTTGTCAGAAGACATACCCAGGCAGGCAAGGTAATGGGGCCCTGGCCAATAAGAACAGTCTCCAGAATTCCTGCCCTTACATACCATCCAGGCCATTGTGATGACTGTAGTTTCTTTTTCCAAGAATGCTCAAAGATGTGTGATTTGGAGTGGTTAGCATCCTCTTGGTAGTTGGGGTTTGCAGGCTTGGTGTAGATCGAATTATATTAGGCTTCTTTGCAGGATGAATTTCTGGCAGGAAGCAAAAAGGTTTGTCAACCCAGAATGTGGTATTTTAAAAAAATCCCTGGGTACATTTATACTAGTAAGAGGCACACATCTTATTTCTTAATGAGCTGAGAGTCATTTCCTTATGAGCCAGCCACTGACGTGCATAATGAAGTAGCTTCAAGTGTTGTTGCCATGGCTTTGCTTATTCAAGTAAATCAGCTCCACCCCTGCTGGCTGGAGCTCTGAGCCTCATGTAGTGAATACAAACACAAGCACAAAAAGCCACTTTAGAAGGTCACTTACAACATGAGATTTACTAAGAGAATAAAGCATCATCTGGCTCAAGATACTAGAAATCAAAAGATTATCTGCAGAGATCACTTCAGAAAAAAAAATACTTCTATGCTCTAACAAGGAACATGAAGCCTGTCTGGAGTGTGAGGTTTTTGAAAAACCAGATTCCTGCTGTGCAATCAGGGTACACGACTAAAGTCAACCACTCCCAGCCCAGAGCATGTTGATAACAGATGAAATACGAAAACAAAGTCAAGATACAATCATCAAAAGACAGATGAAACACTGATAAAGGACACATCACAAAACTAATGTGTAACCACTGTTTTCACTGTATTTGATATCAGTATAATTTGGGGAGGGGAAGGGAAAAAACAAAATGTTTAAATAGGGATACAGGTTGACCCATTGTAACAATGAGATGTAGAAGATACTATGTTGAAAAACAAACTTTACAATTTAGGGGTGGGGAGAGGGGGATGTAGTTGTGGAGGTAGGAGGGAAGGGAAGGTAGGGGAAAAACAAAGGAGGAGGCAATAATGCTTTATAAGAAATGTACTCATCAACTTACTCATGTAACTGTAACCCCTCTGTACAGCATTTTCACAATGAAAAACATATATTAAAAAAACATGTGTATGTGGCACCTGTACTTTAGGTGAAGTATATATATTGTTGTGAGCTAGAGTCTAGAACTATGTTTACTCTCTGTGGACAAACATTGCAATACTGTAGGATTGGGAGTTAAGGACTTCTATTACTAATGTTAATACTTTTGCTCCAAAGTCTACCTGCTCACGGACCCTCAGTAAACTATGGGCAAGCAATCTGATCTCTCACCTCCTGCTCAATGTGAGGGTCCATTTTAGCCTGATTTGCTGAACTTTAGGAAAAGCCATTCAGACTGTTAAAATGACTGCATCGTGGTCTGATCAAAATCCTACATTTGTCTAAATTTAGATATAGCTTATATACTATTAAAAAATAAAGATTCTGCCAGGTGCCGGTAGCTCACTCCTGTAATCCTAGCTACTCAGGAGGCTGAGATCTTAGGATTGCTGTTCAAAGCCAGCCTGGGAAGAAAAGTCTGCGAGACTCTGATCTTCAATTAACAACCAGAAAACCAGAAGTGGTGATGTGGCTCAAATGGTTGAGTGCTAGAGCTGAAGACCTGAGGGATAGTGCCCAGGCCTAGAGTTCAATCCTCACGACGAAAGAAAGGAAGAAAGAAAGAAAGAAAGAAAGAAAGAAAGAAAGAAAGAAAGAAAGGAAGGAAGAAAGGAAGAAAGAAAGAAAGAAAAGAGAGAGAGGGAGGAAGGAAGGAAGGAAGGAAGGAAGGAAGGGAAGAAAGAAGGAAGGAAGGAAGGGAAGAAAGAAAGAAACACAGAAAGAAAGAAAGAGAGAGGAAGGAAGGAGGGGAAGAAAGAAAAAGAAAGAAAGAGGAAGGAAGGAAGGAGGGGAAGAAAGAAAGAAAGAAAAAGAAAGAAAGGAAAGAAAGAAAGGAAGGAAGGAAGGAAGAAAGAAAGGAAGAAAGAAAGGTTCTTTTCATTGAAGATTCTTTTTTTTAATTGTGAAAATACCGTATAGAGGGGTTACAATTACATGGGCAAGATAATAAGTACATTTCTTATCAAGCATTGTTGCCTCCTCCTTTTTTTCCCCTTCCCATCCCTTCCCACTTCCCCCCCAGCCAAAGTTGTAAAGTTTGTTTTTCAACATAATGTCTTGTACATCTCATTGTTGCAATGGGTCCACCTGTATCCCTATTTAAACAATTTGTTTTTTTCCCTTCCCCTCCACAAATTATACCAACATCAATACAATGAAAACAGGGGTTATACCATGGGGGATCATTGAAGATTCTTAACATTGAAGGTTTGCTAACTTCATTTTTCTATTATAATCCCATACCCTGTGCTCCGTTCACATAAGACAATTGTATTCCTGAACTTTTCAGGTTCTTGGACTTACTGAAGCCTTTGCCTAGATGTTCTCTTGAAGACAGAATAAGAGAGAATATTTTTTTATTATTTGTCCATCCATTCAAATCCTAAACATTTTTTAAGGCTGAGGCCAGCCATTATTGGTATTTAGCTAAGTTTTGAGGGCAACAACCTCCTCACTTGGTGTTCCCCAAATCATGTACTTCAGTCTTCAGGATAACATGCTCAGAAATATGTTAGGAAGGGATTTACCAAGTAAATCCAGTGGTTTACCAAGCAAGAACAAAATAGCTTTGGCTTATGTTGTAGGAACAGAGATCAACGTGTAAAATACATAATTACACCAGAAAGGTTGACTACTACTCAGTCCTACACTATTTTTTTTCTTTTTCATGATCAGAAACTTTCTCCTGCAAGGTAACAGACAGCAGCCACCTTCCAGAGCATTATCATCGTTACCAGCCATGTCTAGGCAACCATGTGATACTGTGAAGGCAATATTAGTCTTTGACAATAAAACAAGAAGTAGGGAGGCAAAGTGACATCAAAGATGAAACTTCAGAGCCAAGGGATACTGTTGAGAACAAGATAATATTCCAAGTTCAAGGATGCCCTTTTGATTTTGAAAAAATTGGATAGCTAAAGTCTGAATACTTCTTAACTATAAATCTCCCAGATAGAGCAATAAGGTTTAATACAACTCTGAGTGTGTATTTCACCTTTACTGAGAAAATGAAAAAGCAGTACAAAAGCGTTCTGTTCTTTTAGGTATTTGAGGATCCATTTTTTCCTAAATTACTTAAAATTTTGCAAAAAAAAAAGTATTCCTCAGTAATCTTAATTAGGATAATTCAATATGTAACTAGCACCATCATCTTTGGAGATTTCTGAGTTAGATGGCATGCTTTCTAAAAATGTGTCCTTTTCAAAGTAACCTGACTTGGCATATCAAAGCTATAACTCTGTGTGTGTATGTATGTGTGTGTGTATGTGCGTGTGTCTGTACATGTGTGTGTGTGTGTGTGTTCTCATTATGTAACACAGTCTGGCCTGGAATTTGCCATCCTCCTCACTCTCAAGTACTGAGGATATAGGTTTGTGACACCACACCTAGCTAGGTATTTTTTAAATGTGGATTGAAAATTAATCTAATAAAAAAAACTAACCCTCCTCTACTTAAAGGGAAGCTTAAGGTGAATTAGATAGTGTAAGGATATAAATAAAAATCTCAAAAATATTCATCTTCTACTTAGTGAATTTTTAGTTTTCTCCTTTTTGCTTAATCTGTGCTTACTTCCAGAAATAAATACTTTTATTCAAATGTTTTTAAAGTAAACATATATCCCTGTTTGAGTGTATTGGTAATAAAAATAAGTTCCTAAACCAAAATAAACTAACTATATGTATGAAGGTATCCTATTTCATTTATTTTTTTCAGGGCTTGCATTTGGTTTAGGAACACATTCAGAATGGTCAGATGTCTACAGCATACAGAAATTGTTTTCTGAGTTTCTCTTATGTTATAAAACACCCACCTAAATACCCAATGATACATGCCAATGGTTTCCTAGTGCTCTTGCTTTTCAGTGGGCTTCCAGATAGTTCAGCATGTCTGTCTGCATCTGTGGAGAGAAAAAAAAAAAACATGGAGACAACCAATGAGGTAGAGTCCTCTGCCACACATACTGGAGAAATAAAAGGTGCAAATGGAACATAATGCAAAATATCCACCAGACTCCTGAATAATTTCCTTGTAGATTTGACAAAAAATGTTTTTTAGTTCTGACTCCCAATAATGAATTCCCTTTACAGTACATGTGAGTGGAGTTAATATACCTTTTACATACACACCGTTCCTATCACGTGTTACCACCTGAAAAGTAATGGAAATATGCTTCCTTTCTAGCCACATTCTTCTTAGTTATATCAGAGAAGAACCCATAGCACAAGGTAGAACCAATCCTGATACAAGATCAATATGACGTGGGAGAATGACAGCTGACAAAAGAACATACTCAGCCATGCTTAGTTTAGATGGAATGGGGTCCCCTTGGAGAAGTCTTGACCTATCTTGACAAAACTCAAATCCTTTAGATGACAGCTTAAGTCCATTAAACAAGCCGTTTTATTACTCATTCTCTATTCTTCAAATCCTACTATGTCATGTGTGCTAAGATTTTTAAAGTTACCTGTATGTAGACAGAATATTTCATCCAATAGCATTTAGTAACATGCAGTGCAGATGGGATATTAGCTTGTACGGTTTCACCAATATCCTATCATAAGACATTTCAGAGAAAAATAAGGCATATTACACAATCACTCTTTTTAATCAGCTGGATTAAAATGTAGATGGAAATGTAGATGTGGAAAAGCTCACATTGAAGAGGTGATATGCCAATAGTTTGGAAGAACAAAACAAAATGTGTATTAAAACCTTTTCAAATCCACAGATGTCATAAAGCTGAAAATGTTTGCTTCAGCCAGTATTGACCTATGTTTATGCCTTCTCCCATCTTCAAATATTTGACAAAATTGTCCTCAAGGTTTTCTGATTCTACCAGAGAATCTTTTCTTTTGCAAGCTGAGACTACTTTTCTAGGAATAAAGGAAGTTTCTTTTGCCATCCCTAGGAATTCTTTGCACTATTACTGTTAAAAGTGTATAATTCAACATGGAGCCTCAAATAACTAAAAACAAATATTGACTTTGTCATGAGCTCTAGCCTCTTTTCACCAAGGAAATATTTGAAAAAAAACTATTAAAAAGAAAAGTGAGAAGTAGCATTATGACAGACAGCCTCAAACACCAGGAATTTGAATATGTACTCCAACCTCTGAATAATTACTACACAGCCCCTGGATACTATAAATGACCTTTTTCCTTCCATTCAATTGATTCCCTTTGTAAAAAAAAAAAAGATAAAAATGATCATGCTCCAGAGTGTTTCACCTATTGTTGAATAATATGAAGAAACAGACAGGAATACTGTAAGCATATATTGGAAAGTAATCGAAATAAAGATCAGGAAGTGACCCCAAGTGACTACAAGAACCAAATAAATACCTGTCAATTCAGAGTATTAACACCATACTTAATCAACATCACTACTTGTTAAAGGATGTTCACAAGTAGTTCACTACTTGACCTAAAATTCATCATGTTTGACAAAAGGCCAAGAGACAATGTCCTTTCTTCCCCTTTAAAAACAATTTTAAGCTCAGTGGTAGAGTGCTTGCCTTGCATGTATGAGGCCTTGGGTTTGATTCTTCCATACCACATAAGCAGAAAAAAAAAGCCAGGAGAGGTGCTGTGGCTCGTCATAGAGCACTAGACTTGAGCTAAAGAGCTGAGGGACAGCGCCCAGGCCCAGAGTTCAGGCCCCACAACTAACAAAAAAGAAAAAAATTAAAGCCAGGCACCAGTGGCTCATGCCTATAATAATAGCTACTCAGGAGGAATTGTGGTTCGAAGCTAGCCTGGGTAAGTCTGTAGCTCTTATCGCCAATTAAATCACAGAAAAAGCCAGAAGTGGCACTGTGGCTCAGGTGATAAAGAGTGTGAGCCTTGAGCAAAAAGAGCTCAGGGACAGCATCCAGGCCCAGGGTTCAAGCCTCAGGACTGACAAAAATAAATAAAAAAAAATTAAAAGCCTGAGTAAATCAACTTATTTTCTCAATATCTTAGACAAAGGCAATGTCTATATTACTAGTACTAAGATTATCTATGGCCTGGTCATGGTGGCACATGTCTGTAATTTCCCATCTTCCAGGGAGGTGGAGATAGGATTGTACACCAGGGCAATAGTTAGTGAGAAACTATCTCACAAAGAAACCAGGTGTGGTGATGTACAAGTATGGTCCCAGCTACTGGAGAAGCAGAGGAGCAAGGACTACAGCCCACAGCTGGCCAGGAGAAAATTAAAAAACAAAACAAAACACAAACAAACATGAGACTCAATCTGAAAAACAGACTAGAAGCAAAATAAATAAATATGTGCCTCAAGTGATAGAGTTCTTGCTAGCAAGCACAAGGCCTAATGAGTTTAACCTGTTACTATAAAAAAAAAAACAGGGCTGGGAAGGTGGCTCAGTGGTAGAGAGCTTGCCTTGCATGTATGAGGCCCTGGGTTCGATTCCTCAGCACCACATAAGCAAAAAGAAAAAAGCCAGAAGTGGCACTGTAGCTCAAGTGGTAGAGCGCTAGCCTTGAGCTGAAGAGCTGAGGGACAGCGCCCAGGCCCAGAGTTCAGGCCCCACAACCGGACCCAAAAACAAAAAAACAAAACAAAAAAAAACAACATTGATTCTGTCATTTATTCCCATCTATAAGGTCTAAGAAAAATTTCTAACATGGTTTCAACTAATGAACACTAGGATATCATCATCACTTTGACAAGAATCAACCAATTCATCAAAGGGTTAGTACTTAAATTCTTCATTTTATATAAACTAGTATGCTTGTAATTTCTCTTTATTACTAATATTAATTATGTGAGATTATCAATGAAAATTTATATTACAGGGCACTTCCGATAGAGTGATCAAAGGAGATTTAAAATGAGATTTTAGAATGAGATTTTAGAATGAGATTAGATATTTCATTAATCTTCATTGTATCTTAAAAGAAGTTGGTGCTGATAATTAGCAGTTACAATTATGAATAAATTAGAAGTACTAAGAGAACCTAGTCATTATTTCATTTAAGGAAAAAATAGCAGCTATGAAGCAAGGAAAATACATTCTGCTTGAGGGAATAACTATATACTGGGTTATCTAGTTCAAACTGGTATATCCTGGCTCATGCTAATAACCAGGTTAGTCTTGGCACTGTTCATCAGTTAGTCCTTATTCCTCCCAAAACGTACCTATCTATATTTAAACAGAGAGATAGGCATTAAAAGTGTACAGATAGTCAGGAGCAAGTGGCTCATACCTGTAATCCTAGCCACTCTCCTGAGTAGCTGAGATCTGAGGATCAGGTTTTGAAGCCACCCTGGGCAGAAAAGTCCATGAGACTCTTATCTCCAATAAACTATTGAGAAAAAGCCAGAAGTAGTGCTGTGGCTCAAGTGGTAGAGTGTTAGCCATAAGCACAAAGAAGCTCAGGGGCAATGTCCAGGCCTGATTTCAAGCCCCAGGACTGACAAAAACAAAACACAAGTGTACACATACTGAAGGCAACCTGAGAATACCCCAGCAGGAATCAAAATCTACCCAGAGAGGGAAGCAGCTATATCTCACTCAAGTCACTGAGTACAAGACACATTTATTTCTTTAATTTCCTACACAATGATCTGTATTTCCTAGAGGCAAATGTGAAAGAATGCTGTCACTTTTAATCGCAATTTTTATCACTTTTATCACTATTTCTCCGCCATATTTTGGGTGTTGTGTGTGTGTGTTTTTGTCGGTCATGGGGCTTGAACTCTGGGCCTGGGCGCTTTCCCTGTGCTCTTCAACTCAAGGTGAGCGCTCTACTGCTTGAGCCACAGCACCACTTCCTTCTGCCATATTTTGGAAATGTTGGAGGCTATGGTGTGAGGTAGAATAATATGCACAACACACACATTGAATTAAAATTCACAGTAACATCTACATGGGCTTTCAAGATCTCTGTCAAAATGAAACAATCCATAAAACTGCATATAGAATTATAAAGGCATTTGCAAACAAAAAATCCTAGGCACTATTTAAAAATTTTAAATAAATTACATTTGAAAAAGTGTTTGGCAAGCATCATAAAGTCAAAAGACAAAATGGGGGAAAACTTGCATTACATATCACAGATCAAGAGCTAACTTTGTTAGTATATAAAAAGTTTCCACAGGTCAGGAAGACTAGATAACATACCCAGACAAAGCTGCTTTATATCTAATGGCTTAGTAGATATAAACAAAGTACCAATTATTCTCAAATATATGCAATTATTTCTACAGCCTTCTAAATGAAGTTAATATAAATTATTCCTTAGCCATCATAGTCAAGCATTTCAGATAGTTAACTTTGGTAGTAAGATTCTTGAGAAACAGACATTTGCTAGGAATACAAGTTCAAGGACAACTAGATAATGACTACCAAAATTTAAAACTGCATGTTCCATAAACCAGGATTTCCCATTTAGGAATCAATCTTATGAAAGAGCTTTGTTTACTTTTTGTTTCTTTTTAATGCTGGAGATTTAATCCAGAGACCCCAGAGCATGTAAGCATATAGTCACCACTAAGCTATACTCTCAGTCCCTACACACTCTCATTTTAAGTAACACTATGACATGGTACCTGTATATGGTCCTGGTTGCAATACTACAATAGAATGTATAAGAAATAAGAATGTTTAAGAAGGAATTGGCTAAATTACAATATACAAAATAAAATATTCATCAGGAAAAAGAAAGAAGTAACTCTCAATGTAATGTACTGGTATGATACCTTTAAAGAGAAAAGCAAAATGTAAAACATTAAAACTGTGAACTTTAGTATAAAAACAAAGTTTTGATTCTTACAGATGCATAGAATACCTGTGGATTCTTGATGACAATGGCTGTGAAAAGGACCATCAGGAATGAGAAGTGGTGTTTTATAACTATCTCTGTACTTAAAAAGTAAAAGGGCTGGGAAAGT